ACAAGAAATTTGTATCGAAAGAGAATTTCGAATGAAGACTATCCCGAGCAGTGACCTATGACCTGAATCTTTCTAAGATTTTGACTATTAGCTGATATTAATGAAGCATTACATGTAAAATGATAATTAAATAAAATTGGAGGACATTATTTTATTAGTGTCTCCCAGCACATAACGAATATCAATTTAATTACTTAGAAATGGAGGAAAAATGTTCAATTAATTATAACATGCAAAATTGTAATATTTTGAAATTGAAATTTGAAGAAATTGATCACTATCCTTGACCCATTCTGGAATCTATCGAATGATAAAGAACAGTACTTTTAAAAGAGTTCGAGCAAATTCATTCAAATTTTACCTGTTGGTTGGCATATATCACTTTCACAGAGCAGTCAAATTTTTAATTTGAAAGTGTACAAAATAAGAGAGCAGGTAAGAAGAGAAAGATTGAATTATTTATGAGGCTTCTTTTGCAGTCTTTTGTAACGATCTAACCATTGGTATATGCATCAAAAATTATGCATCATATTGCATTTAAATTTGAAATGAAGTTTGCCATCTTAACTTATTTCATATAGTTTTTCTTTTAAAATACATAAGCATCTAAATATGTATTGATATTGTATTATTAATTTCAATAACTGTATGCTTTTCTCTCTTCTATGCACAATATTACAAAACTCCTTGTAATGGTTGCTCTTTTCAAATTCATTGACCTTGGAACATCAAGCACCTGTATTTTTAATCTTCTTAACAAATCAAAATTCTTCCCTTCAAGCATTAGAAAAAAAAAGGATTTTCTACAAATCAAAACATATTGTTTAAAAAAAGTTTAAAGTTGTAAAGAAAAATTTTCCGCATAATTTAGATTGTTTAAATTTAACATGCATTTGTTTTAATTTAAATGAATTGTGAGTAAACTTTTCAAAACTAACATCACCTCTAAAACTCTTAATTGACTTGCTAAACGTTTTCAATTCCCAGCACAACGTGATAGTAGTCGAAAATGCTATTTTATCAATTACGCTACTTATTTCGCTCTCATACTTCCAGCTGTATATTTGATTCAAAAGATAAAAATAATTACTATAAAAATAATGCAAGATTTTTGAAATTTTAATTTCAAGTAATTGTGATAATTTTGGAAGCGAAATGTATTTGATGCCCACAGGAACTGGAAATAAAATTGCTATTACAATCGAAAATTCATTTATGCAGTTTGAGTAATAGAAAACTTAACGGAAAATCAAGAAGGTTGATCATGATTATTTGAAGAAATATTTATTTTATACGATAACATACCAATCTTAAATTATAAATCTTACTTTTTTCTCGAGGAAAACATTCATAACTCTCTTCCCATACTGTCACTGTATTCAAAATAAATCAATTATTGATTATGTGTATTCGTTGATTAATTTAGAGTAAGTATTGCCGTGATAATAATAGTTAAAATTTATGGTGAAACTAGCGTTAACAATTCTCGTGAATAATTCATAACAATAAATACACTTAAGATTTTTTGCTTATTGCAAAAAAAATAAATATTGCAAAAATTTTATTTTTTCAGTACTCAACTGACAAGAAAGCAGATATATCTTTCCTACACAAGAAATAATCCTACGAGTAATATCATGTCTGTCACGTAACAACCAAATATTTATGTTCCATACAGTCTGCCTTTAAGTTTAATTAAAGAGTAAGCAATAATTTAAATCGTATAAGCTATGCAACCAGACTATACTGTACTACAACCAGCCACTTTAGTTCCGTCCAAAAAAAGTCTCATGAAAATTGCTAAATATATGGAAACTTTTAAAAACTTTTTGAATCAAAAAAATTCGAGAAATTATTAAAATGTCACGAAAACTCCAGTCAATTGGGAGTGTTTAATTTGCATCGGTAGATTGAAGCACACTTAATCAGAGTTCACTTTCCATCAGTGTTACCGAAGCAGTAATCACATACTAACTTTGCGAAGCAATAATCACATGCTAAAAAATTAACAAATTTATCGTCTCTTCACACTGCTGAATACTTTTGATTGTTTCAATAAAGTTTTGTCGATGATACCACTATCACATCAGTCAACATCAGAAACAGAGTGTGCGTCGGGAAATAAAAAAGATGGAAATGACTTTGAGTTTAGGATTAATCTATTTTTTTGTGTTTGCAAAACGACACAATAATTCCCCTCAAAATTCGATCTAAAACCAACAACAGAAAAAAGAACAGAGCTAACTTTAATCATGAATTAAAAACACAGGCTTTAGTCCATCTAAAAGTAGAAACAAGATTCCCAAAAGTCAATGAAACGTAAACTATTATTATTGATAATGATTTCACCATATATTCTTATGAAGCACTTTTTTATATCCTCCGAAAATGCGAAGTGAAGAAAATACTTATGAATGAAAATACTTCCCTGCAAGAAACTTCTATAAATTGAAAAATTGAAATACATCACCATTACCTATCTAATTGGTATTACGGATCGCAATACTACATTAAATGAGCTTGAAACATCAGCATGAACCATCCTGTATAATAAATTCAACTGACTGTCAACTTGTTAGCTCATATAATCTTGATACTGTTTTTGTCTATCAAAGCTTTACTGCTTATTTAAAGCTATCCATTGCTAGTTGGTATTACTGACCGACAGATTTGCCATACCTGATCGTATGAACAATATTTTCAGAGACTCGACAAATATCCTGATGATTTCTATGAGGAAGAATAACCGAACTTGATTAGTCTCCAAGAAGAAAGTAATTGAGGTAGGAGGTTGGAGTCACAGAAATCATAGAATATTCTTCCTCATAGAACAATGAAACCAAGCTAAGACGAACGCAGCTAACACAGTATAATATTTCATTAAATAGAACAATTTCTGAATATTAAACAAAGTTATTTTTATCTTTGACTATTTAAAATCAAGGCTGTCTTACCCAGCAAAAATTCACATATGATAGTAGGGATAGTAAAAGAAATACAAATATAAACGTTTATATCAAATAAATGGACGTGACAGCATCTGCACTCGTGCAATCTCAGCCAATGCCTTCTGTATCTTTTTTATCAATTCTTCGCCATCGATAACCGCTTGTTCAAGTTCACGAGCTGCCTATAACTGATTGCGATAAGCTCGTACTTATAGCAAAATAAAACAAAACTGAAATTTATCTCAGAAATAATTTAAAACAGAAACAAAGGTTGGGCGAAGAAACCTAAATTACCTATTAGATATAATACGCATAACACAAACCATTTGTCTCGAGCCATCATTTCCAGCAAGTAGAAACTTGCTAATATTAAACTGTAAACAATACCTTACTGTAAACAGTATCAAACTGTAAACAATAGCTTACATCTGCAGACTGAGAAAACTTACTCGATGCCTATGTTCGTCCATTCTCAGTAAAGATGAATCAATTTCTGAATTGCTTGCTGCTGGTTCATCTATTGGCAAAGAATCAATCAAAATCTCGATATCTTTAGCTGTATGAGCAATTGTTGCAGCGAAAAGACCGCAGTTTTCTTCCTCCTCTAAGGCCTGAACACAGTACTTTAGGAAAGAAGAAATTTATAAAATAGAGGAAAACTATTGCTAAAAATCCAACGGAATAGAAAGAAGAGCTAAATTAAGGACCTTCGAATTTAGAAAGTGGTAAATGCATAGGCTGTTAGCACCAGTAATTCGTTACGATAACTGACGAGATGAAATATTTATAATTAGAGCTAAATTCGACAAAATATACTTTTGATGTTCCATTAAAATCACATGATGGTGCTGTGAGTCGTAAAACACCAATTGAATTGCACATCAAATTGGCCAGTTCATTGACCAAATCTTGCAGTTGTGTTAAGCGGTCTGCCATCGTCTGGAATTTCAATTTTTGCTAGAAATCACATCATTTTTACAGTGTGTTAGAGCACGTCAATTAAATTGATAAAGCTAAGGTTGACAAAAAAGAAGTAGGCAGTGCAAAATGAATATTTCACAAGTATGTTTTTAGGCACTCCTCAAGAAAAAAACAGACAAACATGAACGATTTATTGCTCAAATTTTCCAGTTTAACCGTGTAGCAGCAGATCATCTGCATTACCAATAATGTTTCTAAAATTTCTAAAAGTATGTCATCATTTACAAAATATCGTGGTGTGTATAAAATGTACATATAAAGATTAAACAAAACGATTTCAATAAACAAAAATATGCGTTTTATTAGATCACTTTCAATCACGAATTTAATCCGTAAACAAAAAAAGGTTTGCTGCAGTTTTTAATTTAAAATTGGAGTTCCGAATTAAATTCTACAGTACATCAAAACAGAATAACATTTTAATAACGAAATGCGAAATGAATCGATGTAAATTGAAACATGATGAAAAAATATCAAAAGAAAAACAAAATGAAAAAATATCATATTTTAAAATTAATATTTATATTTGGTTGAATAATCTTTTGGAGACACGACTAGACCACGACCTTTACGAGCACCTCTGTATACTGTTTCCAAAATATCAATCAATTCTTGTCCATCAGTGATAGGCCAGTTGATTTTGTTGTTATTACCAGTACCTAAAATCAATAATTCTTGCTTAAAACATGAGCAAATTGATTAAAAATTATTCATATTTACCAAGAGAATTCCGAAACAATTAGAATAATCCATTGCTTTTGATAAATCTCATGAGATGAGTTGCGATCTTAATGATTAATGTTTTAGAAATACCTAGTCTGCAGCGTATAAAAAGAACAAAAGATGTTAAAATCAAACACCAATCAATGTATACATTAAGAAAAGACAATTTACTATTCCTAACTAAAAATTCGTCGAGTATTTGCGACAAAGTAAACCAACCTAAATCAACCATAATGTGTTTGTTGCGAAAAAAAAACATCACAGTGCACGGGTCGTACAATTCATACATTTTATTAAAATCAGGCACCTCTGTCGTATCAACCAAATATATTACAGCAAAATTTTTCACCTTGTTCGCAATTTTATACAAAGTCTGCAAATAAAATAATAATCGCTGCAAAAACTGAAATTCTTTAAAACTGAAAATATTATCGCCATAAATAAATCTCCTATCGACGCATTATGGATTTGTTTTTGAAATGTAAAAAAAAAAAAAAAAAAAAACTTTACATGAAGAGGTGTATTTGTTTTCAGAATGAAAATAAATGTAATCCAGCATTAAACCAGAAATTCATATATTATCATTTATAACTCTGAATTAAATAATTAAAGGATCCAATTAATGGCATCTCGAGGTTTAATACGATGAAAAGCATTCAAAGAGATAAAGATTGACCTCATCCATTCGCATACAACTTGGATCCCAGTCATGACCGAATCGAATAAGCACGACACGATCCTCCTCAGCTAATATTGCCTGATCTACTTGCCAGCCATTACTCAAATGAGGCAGCATATACGACATGTTGACCGCTGGTTATAATAAGCTCCTTGCTCGAAGTGGCGTATTATCACAATTAAGTTTCAAGAAAATACTCTGAAAGCAAAACATACATCAATACCTCGCATTTGACATTTCCTGCAGGTACTGTCGAATTGCTCTGATTCTCAAAATCCCCATCCTTAATTAAATACAATCTCGAACCTCACCGACCGCTCTCAAAACAGAGTTTGTTTCATAAAAATCTTATGGCCGCGCCATATTTTGCCGAGGCCCGTGAAATATTTGTAGGAAAAACAATTCTGGAAATCGACTGTTTTGGTGAGATTGCTTTTAAGGGCTTTGGTAATTTCTCTCGTTAATGAAAGTGTGGGATGTTCAGAAGAGGGACATAATTTAAAGGCCGTAATATCCTCTTAAGAAGTAAAATTAATATTTCGTTCATGTGACCTTAAATAAATTTATATAAAACATCGAGTTCCATCAGTAACATTTGAAGGACAGATTTATGGACTGATCATTTAATCATCTAAAAAAACTGTCCACTGAAATGGAAGTACTTATAAGAGAGGAAACAACATTTTACGATAGAGGACACTTATTCAGATTTCACTTTTGCTCCTATTACATAAATAATTTGAGTTAGGCGATATAGGTTACCTGCCTGCACTTTTGTTTTCTGCTGCTGGTTAGCCAAAGATATCGCTATCAAATAAACAAAGGAGAAAAATAAAAAATGATTTAATGCCTTGGTGAAATGAAATTCTTGGATTTTAAAAGGAGAATCTGGAGGTCATGCCTACGCTAGAATGTAAAACTGTTATCGACATTTTTTTCTGATTTCAAATATTTCTTCTTGAATGTTACATCACCGATTTAAATTAAATTAAGCTAACTGATATTGTTGTGCAATTATTTATAAAGCAATGAGGGATTGTTATTAATGAAGCAAATAGAACGTTGCATTGAAGTAGGAATGCATTTTATTGCTTTTGAATTATTCTCTTTATGTCACTTTGTTTTGAATCGTTCATATTGGGCAACAGATTTTGAAATCTGTTAATCAAGATTTCTTTAAGCAGTATATGGTAACGAACTGAGAATTTCGTCTTATCAATCGCAAATTCTAGATTTTCCTGTAATCGGAATATAGCTATAGTGAAGCATGGTTGATACAAGTACTACTGAAGGTATCTCATAATATTATCCAATAATTTTTTTGCCTGTCGCAATTTTATTTTATTTTTTGTTTTTCATATATTTTCGAATGCGAAATCACTTCACGGTTAACAAGCAGAAGAGTGCAAAATTGCTAAGCGTAATATGTCAATGGCACTGATTTTATTCATTTTTATTATTTAGAAAGATTTTTAAATCACGGAACTTTTAGTGATTTATTATTTTTTTCCCCTGCGTGAAGATGCGGATTGAGAATTTCAGGTGGAAAAGTGTCATCCCGATTTTATATTGTAAGACCCGAAGAAGTTATTTCATGGAATGAAAGATTGTCGAAGCTGCATGGTTTGACCTATGACCAGCTCTTACAATTGATCTCACCAAACGAAATGGCTGTTGAATTCGCTGCACGATACGGCTTAATTTCAAATTCAATGAAATGCAAACGTTGTGGACAAATGATGCTCTTGTGGAGCAGAAATGGACTTGACGGTTTACAGGTTGGACAAAAAAAATCACATAAACCAGTTTAAAATATTGTAAAACATTCAATATTATTGCTGTTCTAAACATGGTTTTTAATTTTGGATTATTTTAAAATTCTTCGTTCATTCTTGGAAGTTGTTTTAGTAAATGTACTTTAATAAATATCGAAGAGAAACAAACAATCCTGTATGCCGTACTTCATTTCCAAATCGTTATCCTTTTTTTTCATGTGAGGCATAAAATAAAAGGTGTTATTAAACATCCATATCTCTCTTTTTCTTAGACAGCTGAATTGCAATTTCTTTATGCTATTAAGAAATAGTTGAAATTTTGAAGATTACATTTTTGTATTTCTAAATTATTTTTCACATTCTTATTGCCAGTATCAATATAAAATTAAGATTATAGTGCTGATTTTCTTCACTCCCTCTATAATTTATTCTAACATGTATCTTAATTTATCAAATTACAGTGGCGGTGTATGCATGTGGTTACAAAGCAAGAACGGAGAAATGGCAGAAAACGAAATTATTGTTCGTCATTATCCATCCGTCATGGAAGTATATTCCACGGACATCATTTGTCGATAGCTGATATTACTGAATTTATGTATTTGTGGGCTCAAAACTATAAATTGCATGAAATTCGTCTGCACACTCATTTCAGCAGTGAAATGTCCGTTGCTTGGGCAGATTATATGCGACAAATTGCTTCCGGTTTTGTTGAAGCGAGTCAAACACCAATTGGTGGTCCAGGTAAGCTTACTATGATAGAGTATAAGTATGTTGAGGGGGTTTTTTAAATTGTTAATTTATACATTGCAATCAGAAGGAATCTTAAACATTTGTGTGACATATTTTCTTATGGACAGCAATACTGTGAGTGCTCTTTAAGAACTGTAGTAATTTTTCGAATTATTGTTTTAATGTTACTCAGCTTTTTATTAATTAAGATAAATGAATAAATTCCCATGATATGTGAAGATAACTGGAGGACTATTTGTGTATGTTTTCCTGCACAAAATACTTCAGGTATTGTGGTGGAAATTGGACGATTGATTCTGTATAAAACAAGAATTGGTGAACAACATCCATATTTGATTGGTATGGTGGAACGAGAAACAGAAAACTGTATAATTATTGCAATTGAAAATTATACAACAGAACGCCTAAAAGAGAAAGTGTTGCAATGGGTTTTGCGTGGTACAATATTAATTTCCGATGAGGGAACTTATGTCGATGGGCTGAATCAGTTGGATTATCCTATTTTTATTACAGAAACTTATATGGAGAGGTTTGAGTCAGTCAATGGTCAAAAGCTTAGTGTTAATAATGTCTTACTGCAAAATATTTGTAATGAAGCAAAAGCAAAATTTCTTGCAATGAATGGAACTTGTAGGGCACATTTCGAGGGTTATATCAGAGAATTTTTATTTCGCAGAACGTTTCGAAATGGGGGTGAATTTGCAGGCATCATTTTATGGGCTCCGTTGTTACATGTTCCTTAGTATTTGTTGGTTTATTACTCACGTATAACAAAAGTCGAACTTTTGTATGAAGTTTTTAAAACTTGAAAAAATCGAAATATGAAAAGCTGGTAGCTTTCCTGACCATTATGATATAGTCGAATGTAAATTGCTGAGTATGAAATAAGCGATAGTTTTCTCTTACGTTGGATATGCTGTTTTTTCACTACCTGTTTGAACAAGATTTCAAATACAGTAAACCTTAGTCATTCAACAACAGTGTTCCTCTTGAAATTATCATGTGGAAGTGAAAGATCAGTAGTGAATTAGATTTTACACCTTGTAAGTTTTGTAAGAGTTTTGTAAGTTTTGTATTTTTTTGTTGTAATTCATTTTGAACCACATTAAACCCATCCTTTTTTAAAAGGAATTTAAGTTGACTCAGTTCTCTAACTCCTCTCGCATTCAACATGCATTTTTTTAAATGCTAATTTATGAAGAGAATCTTCATTTTAAGTCGCTGTTAATTTTATTAATTTATGAGATTCATGCTATGATAAAAAGCAGCGTGGCACTTTAGAGCATTAACTAAAGCGGTTTCCTCTTGATAATTCGATTGGAAAAACATGCATGGAAATTCTGGAAAAACATGTATGGAAAGAATGGGCTGCTTTGCTTTTGGAATATGTTTTGCAACTTCTTCATACTTTTTGTCAGATATCTATGATGCAAATTCTATGGTATCTAATGGTTTCGAGTTCTTCAACGATAACTTTCTATTGGATGGGATTTTCTTTTTTTCATTCAAAATGTTTTAATGACAAAAAGATGTTACTATCTATCCCTAACGGAGGTCTAGATGAATTTAATTTTCGCTATAGGTCGTTCAACACCTCAAATTATTTCATGTTATCTAGCTTGTATCCACGTAGTGGGAAACTGGAACATGAACGGTAGATGACATTTATGCCTGCAGCTAATCGTATTCCGTGTTTACTCCTGCATTTTTTATTACGCTACTTGAGAATTTAATGCTGTTGCATATCTGAATGATTTGAAAAGCCAGTGCCGTTGAATAGCTAAGTGCTGTGCATGTGATGATTTTACACATTCCAAATCCATATTTTATTAACGTGAATCTCCAAACAAACATTGATTCTGTTGTTCAGTATAACTGCAAAAGATGGCTGATTTGAATATGATGTTTTACAATTCGATAATGATAGGAATTGACATAGAACCACGAGATTTCGTTCTTTTGCATTGTTTAATAATAGCGCGCTGATAAGTTAAGCTTATTATAAATGAATACCTATTATATAACATCGAAACAATAATAATCACGTAAATAATTATCAAAAAATGATGCACATGCAGGAAACAATAAGTAACAACGATCTGTGGAACGTCGCTTGAGAAGTCGATCCGTCAAGATTTTATTTGTGCATTGGTACTATTGACATAGGTTCACTGTGTCAATAGTGCAAATGCTGATATCTGTTATAATCAGTAAAGTGATAAGTGCTGCAAGCTTGCATTTGTAGGGAACAGCAGTACCCCAACATTATTCATAATTAAATCTGTTTTAAACTAATCTTTATTGCGTAAATCATAAAGCTTCAAAAAATGGTAACGTAAGCAGTAAGATTCATTTTTTAAAAAACGAGTTATTTAAGAGGGGATTTCATGATGTGTAAATGTGAGACATACCGCTAAAAGAGAAGGGAGTACTCAAAAATTAAAGCACGGTAAACTATGAGGTAAGTCACCGTCTTGGTAAAAATCACTCTAAAAAAAGAATTGCAATTTGGAGAGAGGTATTTTCAGTGTAAATATTAAACTACAGTTCAATTCTCTCCGGCTTTTCTTCCTCGTCCAAATCAACGTCTGAAACATCAATATCTTCCGCAACGGGCATCTCGCCATCCTTGCCATCCCACGGTTCTGCATTCAAGATCTTCGGAAGTTCTGCACCTTTCAACGGTATTGTTTGACTTCTACCATAAGAAATACCTTTTAAAAATTCTTGGATTCCTGAGACATCAAATGAACCCTGAAAGTTGAGAATATTAATTCAATAGAAACACGATCTGACATGATTTACACTGCCAATATTTTTCAGAATAATTTTGCCACAAAATTACAATTTGTGGTAGATTATCGTATTTGAAAACCAAAGACAAACTTTTAACATCGTAAACTTCATTTTACGATAGTTCAGCGCTACTAGAGCTGGATAACCGAAACCACCTATGCCAAATACTTCCTCCAGTTTAGTTTGTTTATTTGCCTCTGTCCATACCCAGTTCCACATATTTCGTTTGAATTTTTCCGCCAATTCTTTCAAAACCTAAAATAAAATAAGCAAACTGACTGAAAACAACAAAAAGACAAGGACTACACAAAATTTTTTTTAAATTTTTCAAATATTCTCTACTGATAAAATATAGTACTTTTAAATAGTTGTTTCGACAGCTACTTTGGCAATCAAGAATATGTGGCAATACAGCAATTATACAAAGCTGATTTTCTTTGCAAGCCTTGTCAAAAACTTCCTGTGAGACTGCTTCCACAACTTCTGGTGCTGGCATATTTTCAGCAAACTGAAAAACAAAGAAAATATCTTCCATTCGCCAATCTTTCGTTAAATTTTAAAATTTAAAACTATAACAATTATGCACCCTAGCATTATCCAGAACATACGTACACTACTGTAATCAGTATAATGAAATTAAACTTTTACTTTGTTAAGTGCATATTGGACAATATCATCACTGGTTCGTCCACCAACGTAATCTTCAGCATCCTTAGCACTTGAACCTGGTGCGAAATATTTAATCGTTGGAAAACCTTTGATATTGAAACGTGATGACATCATTTGATGTACTGTTGCATCCAAAGCACCAACCTGAATATGCATTGATCTTGTAAAAATCACGAATGGAAAAGTAATCTTTGATAATAGCTAACTTACTGGAAGAATTTCTTTTTTTGAAAATCATAACCACAGGTATATAAGTAAGCGCGCAAATTTCAGTAAACAGCAGTTGTATGAAATTGTAGAGTTTACGATGGAAGAGAAACAGTTTTTACCTTTACTTTACCAGCCAATTCCAAAGCAGCCCTTTCCCAATGTGGTTTCAAAGCTTTACAATGACCGCACCAAGGTGCAAAGAATTCCACAAGCCAAATATCTTTGCTATAAAGCACCAAATCCTCAAAGTTGCTATCCGTCAGTTCAATTACATGTTTACCGCTGCTTTTTTTATCACTAGAACTACTCGATTTGCTTGAATCGCTAACACCCAGTTTTGCATTTATTGTTTTTTGAAGCTCATTTATTAGTGAATCTGCCATCGCCCGTGCCGTTCGAGGACCTTCAAATGATTTTATTTCTACGGGTTTCATTCCACAGATATTTGAAGCTGTCAATAACAATATTAACAGTGTAGTAAGAATAGTCAGTTTCTTCGATTTGAATGAATGAATAAAGTCGCAGAGTTGCAAGAAAAAATGAAAAAACAAATAGAAATTATCTGTATTATGAAAATTAAGCCTGTCAGATAGAGATAAGCGGAAACTACAAGGAAACTAGCCTTGATATTCCATTGGAGCCTTTTTATCAACACCAAATATTTTAATTGTAGGGAAGCCTTGTACATTATAGGGTGCACCCACTGACTGATGTTGCGTCATATCCACCGCTCCAATTTTAAAAATACCTTTCACCGCATTCGCCAATTTCATATATTCCGGAGCTAATTTTTGACAGTGACCACACCTGTAAGAAATTGTATTTCAAGTAGCACCCAAAAAAATATGTGAGAAGTATGGCAAAAATGGAACAACATAATATCTGACAACTTGCCATGGTGCAAAAAATTCAACAATCCATATTTTCTTGCTTTCCAACACTTGATTTTTGAAATTCGATTCTGTTAATTGAATTATATCATGATTACTTTCATAGAGTGCATGCGATAATCCAACCAAAACTGCAAAAATCAGTCATAAATGATAAAAACTATTAGCAAATAAATACTCTTTTAAGCCAATTCATCATCAATGTTAATTATGGTTTGACGAATCTTAAGGAGATGATTTCGTTTCTTTCCGATTCTAAACAAGAGAAGTCGGAAGTAGCGCAAGCAAGCAAATAAGTCTTCAGCAAACCAAGATTGTCCTCGACAATTTCAATTAAATTTCATCACCAGTTCAAATAAAAACTTGAAGAATTAACATATTGCCAAATAAACATTTATTTCTAAATCACATAAAATGTCGTATTTTCTTTTTTCCATCTTTTTGTTTCATATTAATTAGTTTTTATAATCTCTTTTTTCTGGAAAAAAAATATAAAAATTCTGTCAAGTTATCTCGAAAATAATAGACCTGAGGAAGGGAATTTACAGTTTAGGATGAGCTGAGGTGATAATTCAAATCAAAAAAAGCTGCTCACAATATATCACACACATAATCCATACCTGTTTAGCTACCATCGATTATATATAATAACAGGGAAAACTTACCTATTAGGAGATATGACTTCATTGTTGTAAACTCGAGCTCCTTGACTTATCCCTTTCTTTTCCAAGAGATAAGGAGAGAGAGAGAGAAAGAGAGAGAAGTGAAGCGCAGATGTGTGCGTGTACTGTGCGGGACAGTTCGATTGGTTGCCACACTTCTGAAGTAGACGAAACGTGACGTCACATTAACTGTTCGCTTGGGTCTTACAGCGAAATAATTTTCAAATTTCAATTTCACATTTGCTAGGAGAAAATAAATTTTTCGTAAGTTGCATGTAAAGAGGAAAAGGAGAGGGAAAGGAGATAAAGAGAGGATTTGCTATAAAAAGGCATTATTTCAAGCATAGATATCAACCTTACGACCACCGACTACCGGTTAAGCTAACTTTTCGTAATAGTAATACCTGCTAAGTAGCTTTGTCAGACGTAGCAGTCTGGGATTTTCGCGGCCAGTGTGTAAGTTTCACCGTGGGATGAGCGTATGTGTTATATGTGTTTTTTGTAGGATAGAAAACTATCTAGCAGGGTTAAAGGTCACGCGACATTCCTAAATGTTACAGTACGTATTAATGTCTTGACTATAGCGAGCGGTAGGACCATGGTTTCAAAATGAGAAATGGCATTTTAAAATTTGAATTTATACGACGCTTGAAGGAATGTAGATGTTGGTATCAGCGTTTTCTGCTTCTGCCAGAGTTGTTTATCGCCTTGATAATCGTTACGCAAGGCCTTGTAATTTTAATTTATTCAAAGTTTTTTATATTTACCTATAACTGGACTTGTCCCATCTTATGATAATTGCGGATATCTCGGATAGTGCTTTGTCATCCTTGGAGATGGGGTTTAATAATATATAAGTAATGTGAATTTACTCTAAAAATTGCACTTCAACAGTTTGCGCAAATATTAGATTTGTTGATACAATTAGAGTGGGACACTGTTATGATGATATTAGATGACGAATATATGGATGAGGAGAAGGTATAGACAGTTTTTCGCTTTTTTATTAACGTTCATTTATTGTTCTGTCAGAGCTTATTTGGAAAGCAGCCGAAAGTCGAAATGGTGAAGATGATAACCGATAATCAATATATAGTTGTTATCCAGAAAATTTTCAATGAAAAATTAAAACAGTTCGAAGAAGCAGGTGGATGGGATGTCATCAATGAAAAAGCACAGCACTGTACCTACCATGTGTGTTGTTTAATTTCTAAATTTATTAATCGAATGTAAGAAGTTGTATGTTTTAATACATAATATATAGATTTTTTTTTTCAGCGTTATTTGGAAGCTGGAATTGAAGATTGTAAAAACACTGCGGAACTGATTGAAAGTTTTATAGTCATATTGGAGGGTATGAAATGTGAATTGCAAGCTCAGGTTGAGCATTTAGAGGCCAGACAGTTTGAGCGTACCAATTTTATAAAAATGGTTGAAGTTATTGGCAATGTGACGAAAAAAACACAAAGTAAAATTTATGTCACAGAACATAATTGGAGTTAAAGTCTTTTTTTTTTTTTATATTTTATAAATCGATAGATTGGAATCTTTATTTTTGTATAACATAAGTTTTTTATTCGAGTCAGCTGTATATGCAGATATCTCTGAGAGCTGTATGAAGATTACGAATATGGATTGCAAGCAGATTGAAAGAGTGGATCAAGTTACTTTTCATTCTTCCAACCCTATTGTTAACTTGTAAGTTTTGTTTGTGTTATCCACTGTTAATAACAGATGTTAACAATTTCCCTTCTGTTCATTCCTTTAATCAAAAAAAATGAAGTATAACTGCTTCATCATTTGGTATGGGTGATAGTTACTTTTTTGCAGAGAAGCGCAAGTTTCAGGACTGCAAATAACAGCGAACACTTCAAGCAGTAATCAGAGCAGTACTTTCAAACAAGGTATCTTTTGAAAATCATTTTAATCTTGCTGTTTTGCGAAAAGGAAAAATGCTAGAACACAAAGTTAGTGTCTTCTAAAGAATCTTGAAATTGTTTAACATCTTTTGGAAGTATTATAAGAGATTTATTTTCGCTTTATTATGAATTTCAGCACAAAGAAAACCAAATAAAACACTTGTTGAGAAATTGTGTAGACCACCAGCATCCTTAACAGGTTCATTTACGATAGATCAGGACGACGATACTATAACATTTTTAGAACCAGTGCGTGCTTTAACACTCCAAGACACAACAATGGATGACACTGTAAAGGACAAGGACAACATGGAACAAATAACAGATGTATGTTTGAGATAATAAAAGCAGAAGACAGTAATGTTTCTTGCTAAGTAACTTCGAGATCTCAACATATAACAGTGATTTTTGCAGTGTTTTTTTTTTCAAAAAGTAATTGGGATCTGCGGAGTTAAAAATAATATATATGTAATTTCAAATTTCTGCTTTGTTTGTTACTGTTAGTGTTTTTAAATTCTCATAACTCATGTTATTCTTATAACTTACAACTGTATGACTATGTGCTCTAATCGCTTAATATATGCACATTTTATGAGTTTAAATTTCGGTTTCATCTTCTGTGAGTTTAGATTTCGGTCTGTCACTGATTATTCTGTTGGAAATCATATTTCAAAATATGCTCATTAAACAGTTAATATTATATTCATAATCCAAGAAGAATTCTAATCACCAAATTTACCAATCAGTTCATGTCATATAATTGCCTAATACTTTAACAAAATATGACAGATAGCCCAATTCTTAACAGTTATGCTCAGCTCATGTTTTTTTAGAGTTTGAAGAAAGATGTAGAATTAGCACATATATCAGAACCTCCTGCAGTGGAGTCCGAACTTGCTAAACAGTGGATTCGTGAAGTCGCTTTCAAACAAGGTATCTTTTGAAAATCATTTTGATCTTCGCTATATTACGAAAGAAGTGTTATTACCTAAAGGCGATAATTCGAAAAAAGTCTTGAGATGGTTTTACATCTTTTCAGAATATTATAAAAAATTGATTTTCGCGAATTTCAGCTCAAAGAAAACCAACTGAAACTTTTATTGAGAAATCCTGCAGACCACTAGCATCCCTAACTGGTTCATTTACGGTGGATCAAGATGAAGACACTGAAACATTTTTGGAACCAATGCGTGCTTTAACATTCCAAGACACAACAATGGATGACATTGTAAAGGGCAAGGACAACATGGATCAAATAACAGATGTATGTTTGAAATAATAAAAGCAGAAGGCAGTAATGTTTCTTGCTATATAAGGATTGACTGTTTTTCTTCGAGATCTCAACATTTAGCCTTAATTAAACATCTTGCTATCTTTTTTTCTTTAAAGATTTTCATTTATATCTGCCAAAATTTCAGTTTCTGCTTTGTTATTGCTTCCGTTTAATTACCACGATTACATACTCCAGTCCTTCTGTAAACATCACACTGTGTCATTCTGATATGAGTTTAGAATCCGCTTTATCATATCATAGAGTATTCTGTTGAAAATCATATTTAAAATTAAGTCAGTTATGTAGTTGATATTATAACTTAGTCCAAAAAGAATTTTAAGCATCAAATTTACCAGCCGGTTCATCGTCATACAACCGTTAAATAATCTGACAAAAAAAAATAGTGGATTGGTGAAACTGCTTCCAATTCTGAATAAATTGTATTCAGCTCATTATTAAGGTTTTTTTAGAACTTCAAGAAAAAAGATGCAGGACCGGTGCGTATATCAGAACCTCCTGTGATGGAATCCGAACTTGCCAAACAGTGGATTCGTGAAGTTGCTTTCAAACAAGGTATCTTTTGAAAATCATTTTAATCTTCACTCTATTACAAAAAAGAGAAAGTGCTATGGCACAGTCAATGTCTTCCAAAGATTGAAAAAAAATTTTGAGGTGATTGTATTTCATATCTTTTGAAAATATTATGAAAGATCGATTTCTATTGTATTATGAATATAAGCACAAAAAAGCAAATAAGATCTCTTACAAGCATCATTTATGATAGATCAAGATAAAAACACTGTAACATTCTTGGAACCAGTACGTGTTTTGACATCTCGAGACAAAACAATGGATGACATTGTAAGAGGCAAAGGCAATATGGACCAAATAACTAAGGTACGTTTCAAATAATACAGGCATAAAACAGTAGCGCTTCTTGCTCAGTAAAGATTAACGGTTTAACGGTTTTTTTCAAGACCTCAAGATTTAGAACGTAATTGAGTATTTTTTCAATTTTTTTTTCTCAAAGTCTTTCTGCGGAATTAGGAATAGCCGTAACTGAATATGTGCCTTGTTATTGTTCGTTTTTAATTCCCAGTTATCACGATTATATGCTGTAGCTACTTTCTGTATATTACACTTATCGCTGTATCATGAGCTTGGATTGCGCTGTCTGATTATTTTGTAAGAATTATATTTCAAAATATGTCTTTTGAATATTTATTATTATAGTCGTAATTCAAAAGGAATTCTAATCACCAAATTTAATAATTGGTTCATCGTCATATAAAACCGCCAAATATTTTAACAAAATATAACAGATATGTTCTGAACAGTTGTGCTTAACACATCATCATTGTTTTTTTAGGGCTTGAAGAAAGATGTAGGACCATCAGTACACACATCAGAATCTCCTATAATGGAGTCTGAACTTGCTAAACAATGGATTCGTGAAGTTGCTCAGAAAATGTAAAAGTTCCATATATTGTCTTTTTTTAGTACGTATTGTTCACTTGAGATCAAAAGTCTTTCGAAATATTCATATACAAGTTGAATTTAAATGTCGAACAGATTTTAGTTTGAAGACGATTACCAGTATATCAATATGAAATTAGCTGTACTGAGACCTTTTCCCAATAATAGTTCTACTAATTTACCGCGATTTCCTGGGTAGACTGTCATAACATATCGAGAAATGCCGCGAATAATGTATAAAATGTAGAATGGCAGGCTGTGCATCATTAATTGTGATTGGTTTCGCTTATACAATTCATTTAAATAGCATAACGTAAGGGTAAATCGAAACAGTTGTACACTTCAATTCGTTCTAAAGATTTATTTCATCTTTAACTCTTAGCTTTTAATTATAGAATTCCCTTAACCCTGAACTTATTATAGAGTGAAATCAGACGCTTTCCTTCAAATCCATGTGCACAAATTAAAGTTTTTGCTTCTTCCACACTAACTGCTTTTTTCCAGAAGCGCATATTTTTGTTATGTTTGACAGTTAAATTCAGTGATTTCGCCAATATACCAGCATAAATATCGTCATAAGAATAAAGCCTCGTATATTGTATTGCATAATACATTTCGCGAATGGTCTGTGACGATAACAATACTGCACCAGCAGATACATAAGGTGGATAACGATTGAATGGATATGTTGTAATGGATACCTGCAAGTGAATGCGTGCAAGAAACGAGCTTTCTGCTTGTCAGTAAATAACACCGAAATCCAATCAAAATACAGAAAAAAACAAAGTCGCACTATTCTAGCCGATTAGTTGGACAAGTTTTCTTTCCAGTGCTTTGTGACGATTAACGAGATTGGAATTGTTTTCATTTTAAAATTACTGAAATCAATGAGTGGTCGATCTTGGTATGGATGTGCTTACTTAATTACTCGGTTTAAGCTGTTATCTCTCCAAACATCAATAAATTAATGCCATTATTAATCAACAATTTGAAAGAAAGAAATAATTTACCTGATGTTTATGAAACCTAGTTCTAAATGGTCGCGTATCAAACCTCCAACCCATATAAAGCCGATCATTCATACCATATTTCTTTATTTCTGCCACTAGATTTTGCACCAACACCAAATAATCATCATCGACAAAAAATGCATAAGGAATAGTATACTGTTGATTACAATAACTGAATGAAAATTGTATCGCTGATAAAAACTGAAAAAACTAAAATGTAAACGCTGGGATGAAAAGATTGCTTCCACATTGACTTTGATTGCAATCCGAAAAACCTTCTAGTTTACCTTCTACATTCTCATATTTATCTCTCTTCCAGTCTTTTCATTAACATTTTTTTTCTTATTATGATAGTCTATATAATCTAAATAAATGATATACAATAAATAGAAAAAACCACGGAATTTTTCAACCGAATTTGAATTATTTTTTGAAATCTAGTATTATTAAGCCACACAAGTATATAATCGCCAATGTGAACCTACAGATAATTCTGGGACCCTTTGCTGTCTGTCATAAATTTAGTTCCTGTTAAATCTTTTCACTAAAAGCTTATAGAAGCACATATCTCATTAGACCATACAAAAATTATCAACGTAGGTTTCACACAAATTTTGAGTTTCAATATGCTTATCCACTGAGAATGTCCTATTCTCCTATTCATACTCTTCAAATGAGGATTTTTTTCCTATTAAAACCAGATTTGATTTTTTTTTTTTTAATTTGAATATGAAAAATTAAGTTAGCTGAAACTCAAAAAATCAGTTTGAAATATTTTAGAACGCTTCAAACACATGTGAAAATTCAAAAATAAAACCTTTAGTGTATTATTTCGGTAACTGTCAACGTAATCACCAATTAGTATATCCTTATGTAAATTAATTTCTTTTTGTAGCTGTTCATTTTCCTCATCAGAAAGTTCTCGGCCAATCACAAATATTGTTTTAATAGTGAAATCGGAATAATGGAGTACTGAGCCCCATGTGACACGTATAGCTTGTCGTTGCTGAGAAATATTTATTTAATTTAATACTTTGTAAAGTATCAAAGAATAAAAATTCTATCTCACAGATTTTTCTTCAAACTAATTTGGAATAACTGAGCAGCAATGCAGAAATTATTAACGGTACAAAACATCATTAGAAACTTCAACAAATTGTCGTATGTTTATGTATGGTGTTAGTGTTAAAAAAAGTTATATTTTGTATGCTAGTAGAACAACTCGTACCGTATAAAGTCATTCCTGAAAAAAAATTTATGAAAAACTTACTAAAAAACGCGGCGGTGAAGATTTCACAACGATTAGCAAAAATTTATCCATCTCCTTGATGATCTCGCACGCCGGAATATGAAATGGTTCAAAGTAAGCCCAATCATTCTCGTAAAGATAGGATGCTGGTCGACCAGTTAGCTCTAGTAGTACCTAAGCAAATGAATAATAAATCTGATCAATGGTAATATGCATCATTCTATGGCAAAAAAAAAAACCTTCTTTTACTGAATTAAAAAGAATAAAAAACTACAGTAAATAGATAAGAAAATAATGTCTAATTTTTGATTTTCCCTAAACGCATTCAGTACATTAGAATTATCATTTCACCTCACTACTCTTCCAATATGTTTAAATTACCGTTTATTTATCTGTGGCTACATATTTGCAATTAGAAATTTTTAAAAAACTAGAAAGCACCTGCTCTCGAACATTTATATATGGTGGCCATTTAAATTTTGAGAAAGACTTTTCGAAAATATAATCCGTCCAACCTAATACCCATAAAAAAATGACCAACAGACAAGTGATAGCCACTCCATACTTTTTCAAAATTTTATATTTCCTTTTTCTGATTAACATTTGAACGACTTCAATGTTGATGTCACAACCTGAAGGAATTTTGCACAAAATTTTGGAATTTGAAAGAGAAATTTATATTCGCAACACAGTATTTTCTTTCATGTATTTTTTAAGCATTTCAATTCAGTTTTTTCTTTCAGGAACAAAATTCAATTTTGATACTTCTAACCGAGAAAAATCACTAAAATTTTCGTGCACAATTAAATATGTACAGTCAAATACTACCAAAATACTTTCTGTAAACTTTCATCATGGCGATACATTGTTTCAAAAGAATTATGGATGACCTTTTATTCATGCTTGACTGCAACTGCTTACATCCGTCTATTTGTGGGATATGTTCAATTCACCAAATCTAAAAAATTAACCATCGTCTTACAGTATACTGTACATAACTTATGTTAGAATAAACACAACAATAAATCTAATAATAAGTACGAAAACAAACAGGAAAATAATTTAGCTATCACAGCTAACGATGACGTCCATAGTCCCATCACTGAAGCTGGAATGCCTAAATATTAAACTGAAGAAAGGAATCCTTAGGAACCGAAAACATAATCAGCTAGTAGATTAAAATGAATAGCAAGTGACAGTCGGTCATGTCCGACGTACGAGTGAACATCGAAAAGCCTGCATAGATTTTCAGATAATTTCTGGTATAATCGATCAGTAATATATTTACGGAATTGAGCATCCAATGTAGGGAAACAGTGGAATTGAATTAATGCTGATGCTAATAACTGCATATCAACTGATTCTCTGGAAGCTTATTCGTTCCATGATTACATGGAACTGATATTTCAATCTAAATTGAATTTTTCAATTCAATTTATATAAAAAAAAAAACATGTATATGAGAAGATAAATGAATTTCTCGTTAAGTCGTAATTTTCGTGTAGAAGTGACAGTAGGAAAACAAAACAATTCCTAGCAAAAAAAAGTTCGTTCAGTGAGAATTCAATCCATCTATGGAGATATAGAAAACAGCACTTTTATTGATTAGCCGCATTGCTTTAAATGATAAATTAATTTATTCTCAATTATTGATAAGTCTTATATCACTTTTCTTTTTTTATACTCAGCCATTAGGCACTGAATGTAGGAATTATCAATAAAAACGGAGTTCCTATTAATACTCAGCTAATCACTGTGACATTTTTCAGATAGTTCCTGAAATTTGTATGAACCAAAGAAAAGTATGTATATTCGTTACGAAATTTGTTTTAAAATTTGCAGTAAAATTGCAGCGGGAAAAGCATCAAATGTATTAGAAAAATTAAATTGGAACAAAATATACATACCTGGGCAAAAAAAAAATAACATAGAGATATACAATATGCATCATATTTAACATTAATATAATTTCTTCCAATGGAAAAAGATTCTGCTCCAATAATACTTTCTCACTATTATTTTTTCCGTTACATTAATCATCATTTTTTCTTTCTAAAATTTAATAGCAACAGATATTTGTGATAAATGCTATCTATTTCATCGCTTATATTTCAATCTGTCTGATTTCAATTAACATTACGCGTCTATTGTAAACAATAATTCATTACAGTCAAAAAATTGAAAACTCTTACAAATTAATTTTATCACATGAGCTTAGTGAATTTATAGTTTTTAATTGTATTAAAGGAAGAATAGTTACATTCACAGAGAATAAGAATATGATAGAAAATGAAATAAAATTTTAGCAGAATCTCAAATGAAATTCAAAAAGCACTATCAAACCGGATGATTTAATGATCAATGAGATCAATTCAAGCATATTGCATAACGCTCCCTTATACGGCTGCTTAACGATTGTCACACTCCTCACCGGAAATTTGCATAAGTCAGTTTGTCGTACATTGGGAGTTGGTTCGGTCAGTGATCGGAGTACCGGTCCATTAACCGATCGATAAGCGTGAAAAGGAGTGTGAAGTGAGGAGTAAGTGACAAATGTAATAGATAAGCAGGTAATGTGAGCTGAAATTATAATGCATTTTGAATGGAGATCATCTGCGATGCGTTTATTACATTTCAAAATTTTTATTGAACCAAATTAAACAATGATTAAAATATGAAACTATAATCCTAAAACGAAATCCATTGAAACTCACAAAAAAAGTTTTTGAAAATTCCACTCCAAATATCAATCAAAGAAATACTAATAAGAGGCAATATGTAGGAGTGATAACACAAAAAAAAATGATGCTCCGGGAACGTTATACTTTCCTATAGCTAGAAACAATTTATCCATAATTACTCGAAAATAAAAAGGAAAAGTTTTACTTGATCACAGTTACGGATAGAGATTACAAAAACACCTTATAAATATATTAGCTTAAGAGAACCATTAATTAATTGATTCAAAATCTTCTAGAGAGAAAATGAAAGAAGCATATTATGTTTTTTCTTTGCTCGAAAACTCTGTGCCATTTAGGAGACATGGGAAACAACAAATAATTGTAATACTAAATGATACATATGAAATTTCATTTAAAAAATTTCCTGACATCGTACTTCTACCTCTTCACTACGTACATTTCTCACTAAAATGATGTCTACTGCATAATCTGTTTACTCCTTGGGCTTCTATAGATCAATCTCGCGTCATTGATAAAAAATAAGAAGGACCGTTTAAATTAAGTATTCTCTATTTAGTAGAATGTCAACACAATACTTTGCATGATTTCCTTTCCTCAGATTCTGTAATTGTTCAAAATTAAAGAAAGGTTTTGATTTTCATATCTAGTAATTTTAAGGAATTAGTTGTAATATTTTATTCATTGATTTCTTATTAAAATGATAGAAGCCCAATTAACTAAAGTAAATTCTACAATTAACTACGCAAACAAAGAAAAAAATTGAAAAACAGAGTTTTCAATTAATACATGAGAAGTATATGAAAAAACTGTAAATATAACATGTGACAACAGCAATCGCTCTGACTTCAAAAATCACTCAGTACTGTTTTGATATTCTTCAACTTTATGAAACGTTCCAGTATTTTCAAGCTCTTTTGAAACAGTGACTGATTTCTCAAGTTAATTTAATTTTTTCTTTCATTGCCAATTTCGCCAACCAAGCAATTCTGAAAAATCAACATTTTCACCAACAGACTTAAAATCTTCCAAATTCATCTTGTACAATCCAGTTATTAAAAATCTTCAAAAAAATATTTCCACCTAACCTAATTTCTTCATAAAATCTAATTATCTTTATTTCTTTGGTTTCCATAATAATTCAAGCTTTCAATGTTAAGCCACCGATAATACTGATGTAATCGCATAATAAGTGAGACCTGGATTTTCTTGACCTCGACTACATGTAATAATTTCTTCTTATGCTACAGGATTAGATGAAAATGGAGAAAGGACGGATTGTTGAGAAGAATGATCTCGTATCTTTTAAAATAACAGCAACTGAGTTTGTTCTAAAAGAAAACATTAGAGAATTCTAATTCTAATTCTAATCAAATATCTTTAAAAAAATGATAGTAAAATAATTTCCTATATGGAATAAACCGAACCACTGTTGAGCACTTCAATAGAAGAAAGAAACTGCGTTCCATCAAAACCACCCAAAAGATATATTTCATCACCCGAAGCTACTGCTGCTTTAACATTAGCACGTGGAATAGTGAGTGATGGACCTGAACGCCATTTTCCAGTAGGACCATCCAAGATCTCTACTGAATTCAGTGAATGCATGCCATCATGACCGCCAATAACAAACAATGAATCTAGAAAATGTATTCAATTCTCAATTAACATCCAATTAAGAACAGAAGTAATTATTTATGTCATGCTATCAAATGCACGACGATCTAATGCATTCATATATAAAAATAGTAGAATTTAATAAAAGTGCAAAATTTTTAATTTAGAAGATGTTAACGAAAAAACTTTTAACAAACCTTTTACTACAGCAACACCAGATCCACGTCTAGCTGTTTTCAGAGGAGCTAGTTTTTGCCATTTTCCTGTCTTTGGACAGTAAGCATCAACTGAATCCAGACATTTCCAACCATTGCATCCTCCACAAACAATGACGAGGCCATGCCATGAAGTACAACCAGCCTACCAAAGGATTTTTAATAGAAATTATATAAATATTGATAACAATGAAAAATATCTACTGCTGTGAAAGAAAGAATATTACCTGGAAACGTGCTGTTCGTAGCGGCGATATTGAAGTCCATTCATCTAGTTCGGGATTATATCTCTCGCATTCACCCAAAACACTCTGCTCACAACAACCCCCAATACAATAGATTAATCCATCCAGAGAAGCACAGCATAAAACAAAAAGTTTTGTATTTATGTTTAAAATCTATAATTTCGAGCAAATCTTAAAATTAACAAGGAAGAGCATGAAAAACTTGAGTAGTGTAATGACAAAACTAAATTATTCGAGTACTGGATGAGCAGAAGTAAAAGATTAAAAAGAACAGTTCGCTAGAGTGATGTATTCCTGATATCATATGAAAAGTTTTTTCTAAAACAACCACTTCACTTCACTTAATGTCAGAACTCAATACGTTCGCTAAAATAATTTCAGTACAATTTTGTTGGTCTTAAGAGTTCATTTAATAAATGTAAAAAAGAACCATTATGACTGCGCCCATGGTGTAACGATTTTACCATTGACCATTTCTCGCTTTCTAAATCGTAACATTCCACTGTTTTCAAATCCACACTCCCGCTACTACCTTATCAATGAAATGATTATTAACTGCTCAAATAAACAATGGCTATGACGTATAATGCAAAATTTTTCCTAATAACGAGAACTACGAACAAAATCCTATGAAGAGTAGGAAAAAAATTCAACTGAATCTTCTGTTCGAAAACTGCTTACTCAATATATTAAACTAGAGCAAGAAAGCACCAGCAACAGCGTAAACATTGTTTCCCACAACGGCTGAGTCGAAACGACCTCGGCATTGTGCCATATCAGCTAAACGACGCCAACTACCTTTTGATAAATTATATTCTTCCACTGACTCCAAACATTTGCCACGATCATAACCACCTGTAAACTAAATATCACTATTCTATAACTTCTCGCTGTATAATTTTAGCAAAAAATTAAACTTTACTGGCAGCATGTATATATATGTGGAATAACACACCACAAACAATGATTTTCCCGTTGATGAATGCACCTCCAACGGAACATCTTGGACTTTCCATCTGTGGTAGTGGAATACGTAAGCTGCTCTCTGATGATATCAATCTATAACAAAAAACTGGAATCTCATCACAAAAAAAATACCTCAACCAATCCACCTCATACTGTATTTCTCCGCGAATTTCCTCTTTGCTCAAAAAGTGGTGTACATGACCAACAGTGAAGTTATTATTCAAAATTCAGAAATAAAACTTGAATTCAAACCTCACAACTGCTTCTTCTCCGATTTCCTCTTGCTGATCTGTCTCAAAAGTTGGTGAAGATTCAGTAATCTGTGAAGCCTTACGCGATTTTATAACATTTTCAGCTTCAGAAAGCTGAATACTGAGCGCAAACAAACATCGGCGAAACACTGCCAGCGTGATCCAAAAGTCTTCTTGAATTAAAAAAAAAAATGTAAGAATGGTAAAAATAATATTCTATCTTATCTTATACTTAACATTCCATAAGCACCATTGAATGAAAACGATTCACTTAATTGTTGATTAGTTGATGGAAAAATATCTTCCCCATATAATTTTCATATCTATCTTCGTCTTCTCTTCTTACCGGCCGTTCGGTGCACAGCGATCAGTTTGTAAGATTCATCATTTGGTTCAATGTTTGAATTCAGTGAACTGTTGCTATCCACTGACGATAGTTTTGCATTGCTTAAACGACTTGAATTCAGATGCACTTGTGTAGCACCTGTGATGTGATGAGCAGGAGTCTGGACTTCCAATACATTGCTGAAAAATAGTTAAGATCTTATGATATCTTTTTCAAAAATTACTCATGTTAAAAGTAAATAGTCTAAATAATCTTCTCGATACTTGGTCAAATATAAAATAAGTGTTTTTTGAAAAACGTTTCTTAAGATTACCTTCCACTGTATATGCGCGGCAAATAGCCACCCGTACACTTGTAATCCTGGATTATATCAGATGCTCCTACAGAACTATGGTCATCCATTTCTAAACAATCCTGTAATCTGGCATCCGTCTCGGTGTATAACATATGTGTCTGCAAGTTAATTTAAAGTGAAACATTGCAAACACAAATTCTATGTTACTCTCATTCTTTTCTTGGTTTCAAAGTACCTTTTCCAAAAGTTGTTCAATCCACTGTTCAATGCGATCATTAGCATACGGTAAAGATTGAAAATACTGCACAACACGCAGCGCAATATCTTCGCCACAGCACGGTCGCTTTGTATCATCAGTGTTCAAAATTAAGTGAACCTGCAAATTTTTAAAAGAGTACTTTATAACTGAAGTTAAGTAAACTTTCTTCTTCGTTCAAACATTTCATTAATACCTTGATAAGAGGCAAATGAGTGAATTCTGGACTTTCATCAATGATTTGTGCAAAATTTTTAGCAATGAAATTATCAACTTGTTCCACAAGTGCATCATCGTTAATGTTAGCTTGACGTCGAATTCCTGAAATTCTCATCATTTCCAGAAATAGTTATTTAAGGAAATGACAATTCTCACGATATGTAGTTCCTTCAACAAGAATATAGAACAGATTACCGATGCAGTCCATAACATTAAGGTTCTTGATAAGATAACGAGCACAAGCTCTAGCAACTGGAGTCACTTGCAGAGCGCAAGCTGTTTTATAGAGTTCACCAACTTTTTTGCTGCTTATTTCCAAACTAAAAAATATTTTGTTGAGGTTCATCAAATATAGCTAAAATTATCGAGAGGACGAAAATATACACTGAATCAATAGGTGTATTTATTTGAATACCTAATCGGAAGCTTACTGAGAAGAGTAGGCATAATTCACAATAGATTCAAAACAATCATAATCCGCTTCAGCAAATTCGTAATAAGAAAATGGTTGTGATGTTATTGACGAAGCAGGAACTGTTGTTGTTAATGGTGGCGAAATGGTCTCTGTTGTCGGTAGCACCGTTGTACTCACACGTTCTGCAGTTCGTATTAATAAAGGATTAGAACTTATTGGAAAAAAAAATAACACTGAAAAGGGATGTCTAAATCTTAACAACAGTAAAATTTAATCTTTATCATTTTTTTGAACCTTTCGATACCATGAGTTTCATTTCAAAGATCTTCAGATATTCATATTGGAGGGACTGCAATAACAGAGGAGACTGTTAAATCGTATATTAATAAAAAAAAAAAAAAATTGCTTGATGATCGGCCTGTATTCTCGCTTCTCATAAACATATCCATAAGTGCTGGCGAACAAGCAGCCAAAACAATCTAAAAGCTCCTATCTAAGCATTATAACACACTTTTTACTGAATTAAACTGAAGAAATACTTGAAACATTTTTCGTTAAAAGAGAAGAAATGGCACAAATGTAACCTTATGGGCGAGAATCTCCTTTTCATGAACAAAAAGAACAACGTCACATAGTTCGCGATTTCGTCGAAAAGTGTTCAAATGGGAAAGCAACGTATCCTGCAACCAAAGAGTTGTTATTTCTCTTTTATCCTCCCTTTTTATAAATGTATTGCTGCTCTTTATTACATTAGTAAACAACATGAAGAGAGCAAAAAGACATGGTTGAATTTAAAATAAATGATGCAACAACAACAAGAACGAATGGATATGATTTACCTGCATGGAGTTATCATACATTTTCAATGTAATATCTTCATTATGAATAGTCATCGATGCGTCTGATTCACTAGTATGTAATGATGTGCCTTGTATTGGTATTTTCGGTTCCTAAATATGATACTTTGAATTGAATGAAATGCAACTGCTGAACATAACTTTACAAACTATTACCTGTTAGAAAGTGTAGAAAGCAATCAACACTGAAATAGTAGCTCATACATTTAAGTTTAAAAAACATTTACGCTAATAGTGCAGTAAAAACTTACCAGGAAAAGACTTTTATTGCGAATATTAACATCATCATTATCGTCATCACCATCACCATCATCATCATCACCATTAATATCATTATCATTTTTGCGTAAGAAAATATGAACATTATTGGTTAGCAAAGGCAAGCCGTTCTCATCAACTGAACAGTGATGAAAGTTACTTGACTGATAAATGTTATCCATTTGAACGATTCCTTTCTGCTGCTCTATAAATGAATGATAACGATTCCTGTCAGATTGGTTTGATGTTTTCGGAAAACGTTAAATGCATACCGCAAAACGATAATGGGGAATATGAATAGAGAGAGATCAAAGATCAATCAGCTGATATTTCTCCTACATTCTCTTGCAGCCCGATTAGTCAATAATAATAAATTCAATTTCTGCATGGATTATAGGAAAGATAAAATGTGAGAATTTTCATGGCTGAAAATAAAATAAATCAGCTTCATTATATATCAAAGAAAAAAAGAAAATGAAGCTTTTATGGCAATTAAAAGAACTAATCATTTTCATGTATGGATGAACTTTTTTATCTAAATTTGGAATAAAACAATACTGAAGGAGTAGTAGTGATATTAAGTAAGGATGAAATGAGAAGTTAGAAATAAGCATAAAAGTTGAATGAATGAATGAAAAAAGATGAATTGAAAGAGAGAAAAGGAAAAGAAGTGCATAAGAAATCAATGATTGAGTGAAGTGAGAGGGAAGTGAATTTGTGAGAGTAACGACGAGAAGTGAAAGTTATTTTTATTTATACCATTTTACGCTCGGCTGTTTATTACACATCCCTCACTTTTTTTTTTTTTTAAATTAAATATCGAAGGATTGAAAAAGAAAAGGGAAGGGAAAGGAAAATTGAT